TGGCACAGGAAAGGCACGTGTGCACCCCCGCCCAAGCTTTCTTAGTTGGTCTGCCCCCACGCTCCGAAGTTGTGTGTCTCCACACCATGCGCAGGCTATGCCCTGCTGTTTGTACTAAATGTCATTGTAAGACATCCCCCTAAAATAAGCCCTGGTGCTTATTTTGGAGCCCCCAAAAATATAAGAGCGGGTCTTATTTTTGGGAAAACACAGTATGTTCTATTGAGATTCACTTTATTTGTAAAGCAAAGTTAAAGCAGAAAATGATTCAAACGTAACTATTGCAACACTAGTTCATGTTGGTCCAAAGGCCCCATGCATTTTGAAAGTAAAGCAGTGACTTTTGGGAAAAATAAATTGATTTAAATGACTATCTCTTGCTTAACAGAGCAGCTAGAAGCACATCACTGTTTTGGAATTAGGAATGCATACCAAAGCTCCTTTTCCCTTATTAATCAACTGCAAAAATGTTTAAGAACAGCATTAAAATTTGCTATGTTTTGCAAAAAAAAAAAAGACTTTTCCCCTATACCTCTTGGAGTTTATTTTAATTGGCTATGCATCTCCAGAGACTGTATTCTTCTTTCACAATACTGAAACTGCTTGTAATTAATATTGATTTCTCATAGCAAAATCACTTGAATTACAAAGACAGTTAATAACTAATCCAAGACTTAGTATTAAAAACATTATTTTAAATGTACAAAAGTATAACATATAATGCAGCACAGAAAATTGTATAAATTGTGGGTATAAATTGTACAAATACCCACATATGTAAACATATATAACTATCTTCCTCATGTATTGCTATTCTCCATTCCCTTTTCTAACTCTAAAAAATACTATTCAATTTTAATTTAGTATAGTATCAAATCTATAATTTAAAAATCAACTACTGTATTTTTCGGACAAGACGCACTTCCCCCCACAAAAGTGGGGGGAAATATCTGTGCATCTTATAGAGCGAATGTTGCTGAAGCCCCACCTATCCGATGGCCCCCACCCTTTGGCCTCTGCCTCCCAGCAATTTGCCTCCTTGCAGCAAACAGCAAGGTCAGCTTCAGCACAGCCTAATTCTAGCGGGGATAGGTGGCAATCCCTGGCAGCCTGAAACAGGCTGAAAATAAGACACCTGGAGGCCAAAAATGGGGCACACGGAAGAGGTGATAGGTTGCAGTGGTGATGTGTGGCGCCAATCCCAGCAGCCTGGGACAGCTGATTGGTGGTATTCCTGGAGGCAGAATAACCTCCAATCAGCTGCTCGTGCTAAATCAGGTGGTGCTGAAGCTGACCAGGATGTTTGCTGTTTGCTGCAACGAGGCAAATTGCTGGGAGGCAGAGGTAGTTTTTCCCCCTTGTTTTCCTCCCCAAAAGCTAGGTGCGTCTTATAGTCCGGTTTGTCTTATAGTCCAAAAAATATGGTATTTATCTAAAAAAGAAAAAAAGAAATGTAGATTACTGAGGACAATTTGGAACCATAAGAGGACCTGCAATATTGTGTCCAGTTTACTTAACATTACTTTTGCATTGATATATATTTTTTACACTAATGCAGCAACTTTCATGCAAGCAAAGTCAATTTACTGCACTAATCTAACAACACCTAAGTAATCCTCTGAAGAGAGTCAGGTTGATGTAGTGATTCAGAAACCGCAGAAAAATCCTTGCACTCCTCAAGCCAATTTGTCAGCTGTCCCAGAACTGCAGGCTTGTGGTTCTGCTCATCAATAAAACTTTCCTTCCAATCAGCCTTCATTTTATTCCCAGCGCCTTTCTCCCAGCTTGGAACTATTGAACCGGATGGATTTTTCTTCCTGCAAAGCTTTTTTTTATTTTTTTAAACTTAACAGCCTACAAAACTGTAGAATTAGCCACGCCTTGAGCACCTTTTCCCCACGCTCCGCGCGCGTCCTTGTGAAGCCACTAGCTCAACTATAAAACACCAAAAAAGAGAAGGAGCCGCAACGTTAAGGGAGCCGTAACTGGCTTGGACAGGGCTAAAAGTCTCTCTAAAACGCGCTTCGGTTACCTACCTGCGGCGCGCGTCCCGAAGCGACAACTCCCGCATTCGCTTCCGTAGCGGCCGCCGACCCCGGCAGCCTTCAAGGCGTCCCGCCAGAGACGCGCTTGGAAGGTAAACCTTGGAAAGCGAAGCGAGACCCAGCTTAGAAACTGAACGAAAGGCACGCGCGCCTCCAGGCACTTGGGATTCCCCCCCCCCCCCCCCAGCCGCTCTATGAGAGGCGTCGGAAAGGGCGGGCTCGCGAATATGCCCCTTTTTTCCCCCTCCTGGCCCCCCCTCCTCCTCCTCATGAAGCTTGGGAGCCTTTTGTGGGTTTAAAAAAAAAAAAGGCAGCAAGCGAAACTTCGGTTTCAGCCAATCGGCGACATTCTTTCTCAGAAGTGTGAACTGAGAGTTACTTCACTGACTCCCGAAGGTAAGCATGCGCGAGGCCGCGTTCAGCCTTCGGTTCTGTGGGCGGCGAAGTACAGTACTGTGTACGCGCGACTCCGGTTAGGTTACTCAGTCGGGATAGGGAGCGGGTTTCCTTAAGTCAGGAGTCCCCAGACTTGGCAACTTTAAGACGTGTGGACTTCAACTTCCAGCTGGCTGGCTGAGGAATTCTGGGAGTTGAAGTCCACACGTCTTAAAGCTGCCAAGTTTGGAGATCTCTGCCTGAAGCAAACCTTGACTGTATGGCAAGACGTGGGCGTGTTTATAGCTGGCAAAAGTTAATATTTAAGAGCAAGTAGCATAATGGTCTGCAGGCATCTGAAAGGCTCTTAGGTGCAGAAGAGAGCGGATGTGTTTTCCTCTGGGAGAACAGGATCAAAAGAAAGACTTAGTTTACTTTATTGTCATTGCATCTCCTACAACGAAATTAAATGCCATCTTCAGTGTATATTATAACTATAAAAATAAAACACACACACACACACATTCCTTCACTCTAGAGTCAAGAGTTGAAATTTGTGTGTGTGTGTCGATCTGGGTGAATATTGAGGGGAATCTCCTGACACTAAAAGTTCCCAAGCAGAGGAATAGGCTGCCTAGAAGAGTGGGAAACTCCATCTGCCTTAAGGTTTTCAAACAGTGAAGATTACATTGCCACATGCTGTTAGGAATGGACAGTGGACCATCCCTGCACTGGACACTTAAATCTATATAGTTCTAGTCATGGAAGCAAATACAGTGTAGACAGCAGCCTTGGCCTGAGATCACTATTGATTCTCGTATGTCATTTTTAAAATGGAATCAGATGCTATATTTGCATTATCTCTAAAAATGTTTCTGCAAACCTACAGTCTCCTGTGCAGAAGTTTTAGTACATCTAGTCATTGACTTACAACAGTTCCTTTAGTGACCATTCAAAATTACAACAGCACTGAAGTCTCTTATGACCGTTTTTCAGTTCGGACCTTTGCAGCATCTCCATGATCATGTGATCAAAATTCAGATGCTTGGCAATTGATTCATACTTATGGCAATTGCTGGGTCCCAAGGTCATGTGATCACCTTTTGCAACCTTCTGATAAGCAAAGTCAATAGGGCAGCCAGATTCAGTGGGGTTGCTAATTTATATCAACTGCAGTGATTCACTTAACAACTGAGGCAAGAAATGTGGTAAAATGGGACAAAGCTCACTTAACAAATGTCTCACTTAAGAACAGAAATGTTGGGCTCAATTGTGGTCGTAAGTTGAAGGGTAGCCATTTGCCTATTATTAGAAGTTTTTCTTGTAGAGCTTAAGTATTCCTACCTTATCTGTAAATTTATCAGTGAGTTCTGTATTTTTAAAAACAATTTTTCTTTTACTTGGTTTTCTCTAGTTGTTGGTATTCATGATTCAGGCATCTTTCTCTGCCCTTACCTGGTGCTGAAAGTCTTTGCTCAATCGCCAGGCTTTATGCCTAAAACGTTCAGCCTTGGTTTTACCTCTTGAACCATAACTTATTCTAAAAGCATGTTGGGTTTTTCCCTTCCATTTTTTGACATATATTTTATAAAAATTTGTCTGCATCACTTTTCACAATGGTGTTGTGAAACACCATAGAAACAAAGGATATATGAAAGACTTGGTTAATGATCAACTGATGTCAAATAAGCTTCACGGAGAATCTTTTAATGTGACAATTGTCCAAGTTTATTTGTTTACCACTGACACATAAGCAGTGGAAATAGAAGTTTAGGGTCAAGTTTACTTTGAAAGCAATGGAATACGCACCCATATACAAAAAGGGTGGAGTTTGCTGCTGCATTCAGTTCTATTTTTGTCATTTTGATTGAAGTACCAGAAATTTTCTTTGATTCACTGTTTTTACTGCATATGTATTGTGTGTGTGTGTGTTGTTTGGATAATAATGTGTGCGAGATGGATTTCTAGAACTAAATGAACTAAAGGGAACCTTTTTCTATGGCATAGTGAAAACATGCAGAGTTTTTCAACCAGATTATTGGTAGGTAATGTATTTGTCATGATTTCTGAAATATAAATATGCAAAGGTATATAGGCTCCCAATCTTGATTTAGATTGGATTATGGAAATTATTAAATGGTTGGTTAATACAAAAAGAACTTGGTAAGACATTCCTGGGTTTCATACTCCTATTGCAAGCCACCTAGTCTCTTTGGATAGCAAGATATATACCTTTAATAAATAAATATTTCAGCACTAAAGTGCCAAATTATTGTTAACAAAAGCAATATAATTTGGCCTGGTGGTTAAGGCATCGGACTAGACAGCAAGAGACTGTGAGTTCCAGTCCCGTCTTAACCATAAATGTCAGCTGGATTATCTTGACCAGTCACTCTCTCTCAACCCAATAGGTTAATTGTGGGGAAAATAGGAGGAGGATGTTTGCCACCTTATTTGTACAAAACAATAAAAAGACAGGGTATAAACAATATAAATATGCATGAATAAACAACCAGTTATCTACCATGTTCATAACTGGGCTTGGAAAAGAAGTAAAGAAAAAATATGGAAGAAAATGTTGATAACACAACATTTTTTTATTATTTCAATTTTCTCTTCTTTTTAAAATCTATTTGCATAATGATCAGAGATTATACATGTTAGCTTCAGTATCTTTGAGAGAAGATAGAATATAGAAAGCAAAATATGAAAAAGAAATGTGTGCTGCAAATGAATTTGTAAACCCAAGATTGCCACAAGTCTTTGAATGATTTGCTCGGGAGTATTAGAAAGCTATTTGATGGAAGTCTTTCTATGCTTAGACAAAAAATATTTTGGGAACGTTCAAGATTGTTCTAAATGTATTCTTAACTTTTATCAATTACCTTAACCTCAGAATAGTTTATACTTTTCTATAATCTTTGATTTTTATTATTATTATATATGTTATTCAGATGTGACAGATTAATGGATCAAAGAGTACATCTAACCATTTCAAAATTATGTAATCCTATATTCTAAAAGCTATACAATGTGTGTCCCATATACCTGTCTTACAGGCATTACGTTTTTCCTGTTTAAGAATATATTATAACTGCAGTATCAAGAATTTACTGTTCCATCATTTTTAATTTATAATTGAAGTATCTGGTGTCTGCATATATAGTCACAAACCTCTTTTCCAACCACGTAATAATTCAGCCTAGAAATGTTTTCTCCAAATATACACATAGGCCTTATAGATGGCCATTCATTTAAAAGTTTTTATATTTCTTTATTGTAACTGAAAACTGTACATAAAAAGAAGATGCAAAGTTACATTTGTCATAACCACTGTAAGAAATAAATTTTTGCCCAACTTAAAAGGGAGTGCAAATTTTTTTTACATTTCATAAAGTGACAAAAATAAACCAAGATGAAGATTATGGTTTGTAGAAATGGTACAAAGTCAAACTAGATTTTTATAATATTGCCCAAAAAGAAAACTTCTTTGAAATGAAAAAAAATTGTATAGTTTTATTTCTAATCATTAAAAAAATATAAATGAATTTAGAAGAGAATCACAGTATAGGGCCTAAGTATCTTAAACCATTACAAGGTACATAAAAATAGACACAGATTCCTTGGAAACTTTAATTCTTTGATTAAGCAGCAAGCATTTCACTCCTCCAGGCAAAAACACTGCTTAACACAACCCCCTACCCAAAACAGGACGTGCAAGCTGTATGCACATAATCTGGAAAGCACACAATTTTTTAAAGGACAACATTTTGCTATGTACATATTCAGTACTACAAATGCTAAACATTTTGTCACTGTGTGGCATAGCGTATGTAAAGCAGTATTATACTACATACTATACCATCATACCCAAACACACAAGTGCCCAGTTATAGTTTCGATAGTCTAAAATTGCCATTTAAATGGCAGCACCCAATCTTCTGCATACTGAAGTTCTAGCAACAAGAGACAAGACAAAAGTTAGCCAAAAAAAAAAAAAAAAGACAATACAGTCACTGGGAAACCTGATCTACATATTTAAATATTGAAGATGCATTGTTAATAGTTTGGTATTTAGAGAGTTATGCCAAAATGCACAAACAGGACTATGGCAGATTGGAAGAATTCCAGTGGATTAATATTGACATTGGAACCAAAGGTCAAATATAGTGAAGTACCAAGAATTATGACAAGGGATAGTGATGCTTCCACCCACCCCCACTGAAAAGCCAGTATTAAAAACCAAACACTCTGGTTGGATACAGATAATGTACAAGAGACATCCATTGAAGAGATTTCTATTTAATATACTACAAATGAAATTTGATTTAAATTAAGAATTTTAAAAAATTAAGACCATGAAATGGGCAAATTATTTAATACCTTAATCATGATAAGGTGTTAGTCTAAAAATTTTGATATTTGAGCTGTAAAATGCAGTACATGAGACCAGTACAGCTTTGCTATACATGAAATCATCCCGAATTTTAACTTTTAAAGTTAAAACACTGTTGCTTTAGTAAGAAGTGGGGAAGTCAGCTGTATTAAAGAGATGCACATCTTTCAGAAAATAGATTTTCATTGCTTGGTATTTCTTGCTCAAAATTAAAAGCATGTCACTTTGATGATAAACAGTTAAACTCCAACTGATTAAGCATGAGTTGGCATCTTTTTTGATACCAAGAAAAAAAAAGAGGGGACATGCACTGGCAAGGAACAGCAAAAAGAGACTGAGATATCCCAAGAAATGAAGCAGGAAACATTCTTAATATTTGACTGTTTCACTATGCCCCTATATGTATGGAATTCAGCACTCCTTGCTAAATTATTTCCAGAACTTAATAGAATAAAATTTCAGGTAAGAAGTAGTACTACAAAGTTTATTAAAAAGAAGACAACTGTGACTTTGTTAGCCATTTGGCTACTAGTGTTGGATGCAAATGGTAGCTCAGTTGCTGTCTATCATAGAGTTTGCATTAGCAAGTCATGTTTCCAGTATCAGAAGACCATATATATAGTTGAACCTCTTTAGTACCTTAGCTTTGCATTCTTCAAGACTTTTCCAACAAGTAGATTGAAGAAAAGTACTTTATGAAGAAATATAGAAAATACAAGCCTAGAAAAATGTAAGAAGTGGTGGTATCTGTCAAAATCTGAATGGCTTATCAATAATACTTGCGCTCCTAACATAGGAAAATGTAAAAATAATTTCCCCAGTTTATCACATTTACAGCCCTGTTTGAATCTTAAATTGAAACTCTTACACTATCCAGATGGTTTACTTTCATGAAGTTGAATACAAAGGATTTTATAAAATAAATAGACTAAAAATCAGTTGAAGTCATAGTGCAGTGAATTTTTTTTTCTTTTTCTTTTTTAAAAAGAAGTTAGCTTTGTAAAATGCTGACTTTGTAGACATGGTTTTCTTTGTAATAATCTACTGCACTGAAGTTTCTCTCACTCAGAAGATCGTTCACATGTTACATATCCATTTCCACCTTCTTCTTTGTGACAGTTCAATATTGTGGAAAGCTTGCTTTCCCTTCCTTCACCTCTTCATTAGCTGAGGAGAATAAACACTGATACTACTTTAATTACCATAGTTCTGTTCTATTTGTTTAATGCAGCGGGGACTGTGATTCTGTCTGGATTCCAATAAGTGAAGGTGGCTGTGGCCCGCCAGTGGAGGACAGTGCTGGTCTTGGGTTTAGGCGAGGAGGCATGGAATTAGCTGGACGGATGAGTGGTGGAGGGGGCTGGTTTAGGGTTGGCCTTGGTTGAATAAATCGAGCTTGTTGCTGTAGTGGTGGAGGCTGACGATGAAGAGCTGGAGCAGCCGGAAGGGTGGGACGAAGCAGTGGAGGAGGCTGGTTCAAAGTTGTTACAGGGGTTACTGGTGTTGGAGTAGATGCCTGGGCTGGTGGAGAAGACCCTACACAATGAGGAGTCTGTGGGATCTGGGCCTATAAATAAAGTGATAAAATATGTAAAAGCAGCCATTCTTCATTATCTCAGTTTGGTTGCTGCTACCTCCAGAAACAGGAAAACACTGTTAGTGGGCCATATTTGTAGCTAAGAAACCCTTTTTTGAAAACAACCATTTCTAAATTATTTAGCAATGTAAGGAAATAAAATATTCAATGTAAAAAAAGAAAATTGAATAATACTAAGAATTATTCAGTTATGTTTTTCGTATCAGTAGTATCACTAGAAGTGTGGGAAGAACCAGAGGCAGCCCAGATTGGAAATGTTTGGCTAACACAATCTCAATGATGAGAGAGCTCTACAAATCAGGAGGCATTAAGCTTCCAACGCTGTTGATTGAGCATTCTACTTTAAGTTAAATATTACATTTTGTGATAGGAAATGTAAATGCCATTTCCGAACTCATGCTTATTTAAAATTTGGTAAACAGAAACACACCTCATCTTCTTCATCTGTACTTTTTCCTGATGACACATTAGTGTTTTTTGTGTCCTCCCCTAAAGCAGAAGCATCACCATTAGAAGCCAGGGTTCCTTGTTCTGCTTCCCACTCCTGCAATACCTCCTCTAAGTTAAAACGACGCCTGTAGTTTACAAAGAAGTTCTTCACTTGACCAACAGTCTTATTGCCAATTACATCAGCAATAGCTTGAAAATCTTTACCATATTTGCGGACACCTTAAAAAGAATAAATAAATAAGATTAAAGTTAATATTCCAGATAAATATGCTTAAATTGTATTTTAAAAATAAGATTAAAGCTTTCAGTGACAATTTTTTTAACAGAATGCTCTCTAATGAGATTCTTTCTCAAAACAATGTCTACATCTCAACTTTTCCAGCTTTTCCACTGGGAAAGTCTCTTTGCAGTTGGCTACCTCCTTTTAAGCAGAGGGTTCTCACAATGGGTGATAGGTGAGTCGCTCTGAATCTATGCTCTCTATTTTATCTTTCAACTTGTTATTTTCATTTTATTTACATTTTTTAAATAAAATTTAATGCCTGACTGGTTTAAAAGTGTTTGTATTAATAAGCAGCATACAAAAATCCTCCTTAATTCTATTTTAAATTAGTCACATTATCCATGTTTTCTGACTTTAAAATGATGAAATTATGTCACAGTGCAAAGTCCATCCTTATTAAAAATTTGAATGCAAATATTTGTATTTTTGTGGTATTTGTATCATATGTATTTCCTTACTTGCTACTCTTTCCTGCCCCAACAAACACAAGTATGTATATATGGCCACATTTAACAAAAAATGCTTTCAGAATGTCAAGCATTACAACCTGAAAAAAAAAATATACGTAACACTAAACTACCTTGAACTGCAAGAAGTTGTTCTTCTGTTGTCCAACGGGCATTTATTTTTTGATTTGTCTATTAAGAAATAAAGAATGACAGCACATAGCAAACCATTAAATATCTGAAAACAACAGTGAAAATTTCAGCCACAAGGCCACCTTTCAATTACCTAGATTTACATTTACCAATTTCAGTAGTTTAATGTTTTCCCCAGAATTCATGAACTGAATTAGGAATACAAAAATATCTTTTAAAACATTAGATTCTTGGTCTAACTCTGGGATAGGCAAACTGATGCTTTATAGATATTCTGAACCACAAACTCTTGCTACTGGGGGCATGCTAGCTAAAGTAATAACAGCTGACATCCAAAGCTAGCAGTGATTTTTCAAAGTTTAAACCAGAATTTTTTGAAACTTTTACATGAAAATGATAGGGACATTTTGCCCTTCTTGTAAGAAGGTGCTGCCTCCATTCTTTTTTAATGTAGTAGATCTTGTAGGTCTAGCCAGGCATGATATTCCCCTCTGAAAAAAAAATCGGGGCCGGCCAAAAGAGACCCCCCACCGCGCGCCAAGAAATCGCTGCCCAGCTCCCTTTTCCTGCCGCTCAGCGGCCTCCACTCGCACCGCCCGCCCGGGCTCCGCTCACACCGCCCGCACGCCCGCCCGGGCTCCGCTCGCACCGCCCGCCGCTTGCACCGCCTGCCTGGGCTCCGCTCGCGGCGATTCCCAAAAAAATCAGAATTCCAATTTTAATCGGAAGAATATCATGTCTGGTCTAGCCCACTTCAGAGTTGAAATAAATGAGACAATCACTGATACAGACTAGCAAGTACACTGAAAATTTCACTGGATTTTTGTATGCCAACTAATGACTACAATCTAGGGCGAAAGTACAATTGGAGCAATCCTTTCAAAAAGTAATTAAGTGTTAAATTCTGTTTACATCTTTGTTTTATGACAGTATGAAATTTGCTTTTGAACTTGCTTTGAATGAAATGTTGTCACTCAATAAAACATGTAAAATATTTTAGATACATTTTAAACTTTTAAACTTGCTTTAAAATATAGGGTTCCTATTGATGTTTTTTCCACTAAAGCAAATACTTTCAGAATTCTCTTCAGTTCCCAGCAGAATAACGATACTGAAAATTCACCTACATTTCAGTGACTCACCTCAGGAGGTTTGAATTCATCTATTCCACCTTCAATTTTCTGCTTAAGTGCACTGTTTACTTGTTTAGCATTCTGGACCTTGTCCAATGAATAAAACAGGAATGAAAATTAGCTGCTACAAAATAGAGTAAATATCCCCTGCAAAGTGATTACTTGAAAATTAAAACCAAAGGCCCTAAGCAGAAATGAAATGAAATAAAATTCTGAAGAGATGAAGCTTGTTTCAAGGAGCAAAGCAATTACCTGCTTCCATGCACAAAAAATAAACCTGGTTAGTAAAATGGGTGTGATTATCTAAACATTATTAGTATTGTTTGTTTCAATGTATATTTAGGATTATATTTTCTGTAGATGTACCATCTAGAATCTATATTAATTGAGGTGGCATATACATGAGATGTTGAATTCCTGGTGTAAAACCTGAGACCAACATTATTATCTGCTTTTACCTAGTTGAGAATCAGGGCTATTCATTTCAACCATTGGGGAGCCTCATTAAGTTCTCATGAATAAGTATACAGAATAGAATCACCACTTGTTTTCTTTCTCCAGGTTTTACCATCCTTTGCTATTTTGTATTTTCGTAAACTCCATTTAAACATTTATCTTGCTGAAAATAGGGAAAGCATTAGAACAAGTTTACTTTTATTTATTATCTTTTTTAGACCATTTTTTCCAGTTTAAAGGGACTGAGTCTAATAGAAATCAAAAGGCTACATGGTTCCAAACTTTAGCATGACACTCCTGGACACCACAGCAAACTCAAAGGGGTTCTGTGGAATAACAAAGTGATACTTGACATTTGTTAGACACTGTGCATACTACAAGACTAAGAGTGCTGTGAAAAAATTACTAAAACCCTAAAGATTCCATGAACCAAGAAAATTTGGAAACTTCTACTATATAAAATTATTTATTTATTTATATCCTGCCTTTATTGTTTTTATAAATAACTCAAGTCCAACACTTTCCTCCTCTTTTTCACAGGAGGGAGAGATGGAGGGAGGGAGAGACACACACACACAGCCCCAAGTTCACCCAGTTGACTTTAATGGCTCAGGCGGGACGAGAACACAAAACCTTCTGGTTTCTAGACTGCTGCCTTAACTCCTAAAAGTTCAATACAGGATTAAGAGACTGATAAAACCGCACTGTAAAACTGAAACAATGAATTTACTTTTACTGAAGTCAATAAGTTTGGATAAGAGTCGTGGTGGTTAGAATGCAATATTGCAGGTTAACTCTGCCCACTCCTAGGAATTTGATCTTAATAAGTTCAAAGTTAACTCAGCCTTCCATCCTTTTGAAGTTGGTAAAATGAGGGCCCAGATTGTTGGGGGTAGTATGCTGACTCTGTAAATCGCTTATAGAGGGTTGTAAAGCAGTGTGAAGTAATATGGATGTCTAAATACTCTTGCTATTACTTATAGTCTTGAGAAAACCAACAATTATGCTGAAGTCTCAACTCATTAATCTATTGTAATAAGCAGAGACTCACACACTTAATGTACTTTTAATCTACCATTTCCTTTTAATAGGTATGTTTCAGATTTTGCTGTTTACTAGAACCTAAAATATTAAAAACACAACCTCCCCCCAGTAAACCTGGTAATTAAAATACCTGTCGCTTCAGTGAGATCAACTCCATATCCAGCTGCCTAAGAAGTGTATTGGCGGCGTTGGGGCTACATGAAACTGCTACCACGTCTTCTTGAGTTAAGTACATGCCTTTTGGAGGACGGCATTTAGAGCGCTGAGAATGATGACGATGTTGCAAACTTTGATATTCTCTTCTACCTAATCCTATTTTGCTGGACTGCACAGGCTGCTCATGATTCCCCTGCAATGTTTGAAATTTTTTTTTTAATTAAGCATGATTTTTTAAATTAAGCATGTACTTTAAAAACAAATTATCACAATTGTATCACAGTACTATTCAAATTTTCTAAAATCTTTCTTAACACATACTTTTCATATCACATATGATCAGACAATGCAATAAAATCAGCTGTATAGGTTTTCCTTGGCAAAAACAGGCCACATGGATGACATATAATCAGATAAGCTGGGAGTTCTCAAACTTTATATTGCCATGACCCCCTAAAATGATAAGTAGTTTGTCAGATTTCTGTATGAATAACTATATTTGCATTATAAGTGGGCAGGAAGTATAATTATAGGTGTTATTTAAATGCATTTTAAATACAGTGTAAATATCAATGTATATTTACATGATATGTATATTTATATGATATGTATATTCATATGATAGCTATTCATGTTCTAAATAAACCAATGATACAGATATCCATCTTCTAAATGAATGAATTCCAATGTGTTTTCAGGAAAAGAAATTAATTACATTAAATCTGACACTCAGCAACCTCATAAAATTTAAATTCTGCTCATAAATGCAGGGTGAGGGAGAGAACGAAAATCCCTGCTAAAGTTCCTTTACGATGTCATAATATCCTTATCACTGATAGCAATACCTGAAGACCAAAATATAGTAATTAAATTGGACCTCTAATTCAGGTGACAAATTTAACTTCAGTTTGTATTACCTCTTTTTTACTTTCCTTTTTGGGATCATAATCACTATCATTTCCATCCATAGGGTGAGGTTCTTCAACTTCATCATCGCTGAGGATTGAAAATGATTAGTCAATATTTACTTTCACAACTCAGTTTCTGCCCTAAGTGCTCAAATAAACTTTGTGTTTATTGTATTCTACATGTTAAAATGTCACTTTAATTTTAAATATAACTAATTCAGTTATTTTTAAATACACAACTACAAATTATTAAAATTTCATGTCTTTATTTTATATCTTTATTAAGATTTAAAATAATTTTAAGCAATATATCCATACTAAGTAAATTAAAACATATCCTATTTAAAGCGTGTTAGTCCCATGTGCAAGACTGTTAAAAACCTCTACTTATTTTATAAGAAATCTACAATTAAGCATACCTTCTCTAACGTAATAGAGACTTCACACAATCATCTAATAATTTTCCTACGAAAATACCTGCTTTGGAATGGCTAAAAAATGGTTGAAATACTTAGTTTCTAATACAATGTCATGTGCCCTGCTGCAATCAGAAATATTGAGGTGGATAGGAAAAAACATTCACTTTTGCCTTGTCAAAACTAACAAATAGGTTGAAGGAAAAATCAGTATCTGTATTAGCAGTATTCCCTAAACTATGGATATGTTTATCTGTTCAGAAATCTGAATCAGTTACAGATGAAGTCTAGTGTGAAACAGAAATGTTGACTACATTCACTACAGTCACAATAGATTGTTGTGGTCTTGTTTGCATGCATTGGAAAGAAAATGTGAATTGTCTTCATGTGTAAGGTTTTTTTAAAAATTATATTGTTTATCAATGACCAAAACAAATCCACATAATTTTAGAAATAGGCTCTGTAAAAAAATCTTAAAGAACCCTTCTCTATCTTGCAAGATATCTAGAAATATCTAAATATTTTAAAAAGTCAAGCGCCCCCCCTCCCCCGCTACTTTAAGAGATGTCTGTTCAGCTATTAACAATAAAAGAACTATATATGTGAGATCACCAGGTCAAAAATGCTGTATATGGCATGTCATTTTATTTTCATTGGTTATAATAACACAAAAATATATGTGGCTACAATTTAACAAATTCTATGCTCTGATATAAAGAAGTGGGTTTCCCATCTGCTTAACAAAAACAGGTAGAGATAAATAGAACAGTTTTCCCCAACTGGATGTGCTCCAGAAATATTGGAAAGTCCCAGATTTTCAGTGTTTGCAGTGCTGGGACTTACAATTTCAACAAACTTGAAAGTACCAAACTGGCATAAAACCTATTCCCTTAAACTGGAAACAGTCAAAGGAAAACAAACAGAACGCTTACTCTCTCTAAACAGTTACTTGTTTAAAACACATATTGCATTGCTTACCTATCACCTTGAGTATTTCTATTAGCTAGTTTTCTAGCCTGGCGGTCCATTAAACTTGTTCTAGAACGTGTTTTCTTCCAGGAATAGTAATATTTTACAAGGCTTGCAATAGTCTTGTCTGGAAGCTGAAACATGGTAAGAGTATGCAGACACTAGTTATAAATACTATGAAAATATTGGCACATAGTTTAGTATGCGTGGAAAATAACTTAAATCATAAGGTGTAATTTTATAAATGATCAAGAATAAATAACACACCAACATATATTCCACTAATTAGTTAAGTATAGGGTCAGCTTTAATTAGCACCAAATGCACAATTTAACCAATAACTAATCATTGGAAATATAGTAATCATTGGAAATATTATATATCAATATAATCTGTCTCACTCTCTGTGTATTTGTCTATATATACACACACATATGGCTGCTTTTAATAAAAGACTGGCATCTTTCAATAATCCAGGAGCACCAGGGAACCACCAGAGGACTGGAAAAGAGCTGGTGTGGTTCCCATCTTCAAAAAAGGGAAAACAAAAAACAAAAACAAACACCAGACCCAGGAAACTACAGACCAATCAGCCTAACTTCAATACCCGGGAAGATACTGGAAAAGATAATAAATGGAACAGTTTGCTTTGGAAGTTGTGGGAGCTTCATCACTTGAGACTTTCAAGAAGAGATTGGGCTGCCATTTGTCAGAAATGGTGTAGGGTCTCCCGCTTGGGTGGACGGGGGGGTGGACTAGATGATCTACAAGGTTCCTTCCAACTCTGTTAATCTGTAAAATTTGAATTTTACAACTTTGTGCAATGATCCTGCTCCCTTTCTCCAGAACAGAGACAAGTACTTTTAGTATGCGAATTTTCCTAACAATAACTTATTTACTATTTCACTACACCTTTTGTTCTCATGCTCTTATAAACAAAATCAACAGGAAATATGACTTTGTATCTTTTCATCCATTTTGTAATTTTTTAAACACTTCTTTTAAAATTTGTACATTTTTAAAATTAATTTCCATATTTTACAAATTTATGTCACTTATTCTGAATATTTCTCAACTTCTATCTGGAGAATCTTGAATTTGGGGGAACTGTTTTTCTATGGCTATTGTATTATTTCAATGAATTTGAATTTTTCCCTTTGGTGTAGTTTCTGTATATGCCCTCTAGATCAAAATAAAACAGATTAAATTTTTATCTGGGAAAGAAAAATATGATTCTTAGCGTAGTTTGTCTTAGCCACTGTCTTCAATCATATACCATTTACTCTCTTGACACTTGTGAAATACTCTGAAGGGGGTGGAGCAGCCATTTATTTCCTTACCATTTGTTGAATTCTGTGAAAGCTTTTTCCATGGAAACTGAATGCTTGTTCAAAAAGGACTTTATCTTCAACCGTCCATTCATCTGGAAAAGGAGTAAAATTCGGGAGATCTGCAAGGGATTTCTCAATGTTGTGCTTATGCCAGAACAACATGCCAAGTGCCTTTTAAAAAAAACCAAACAGGTGTAAGTTTCATGATGTGCCATATTGACCTTTTACTTTCTTATGTTATCTTAATGATGTGCAAGAGCACATCCAGGTTTGTCAGAAGGCACATTTTATCCACCTAGCTACATTTAACGTTTTTAATACTTTCTCCAATACAAACTATATATTCTGATGTAAAAAAAAAAGAAATGGAAAGTTTCTCATTGTACAATATATTGTTGCAAACAACAACATAACTGCCATTTAATCCCTTTCTTCTGCTTATATTCCGTATTCTGTAGCCTGCACTGAACTATAATCAAGTTCAAAGAGTTTACTTTTAAAAAAAAGGATTTTTGCCTTTTCCAAATTATTGAATTATTCTCACAAAGGAGAAGTTTCAAGTACATTGTTGAACAGTATCTGTTATGCTACAGTATGCAAGTAATATTTACACTGAAATAACTACACTTGTTTAAATAAATAAAAACGATAATTTGGGACTAAAATATTCAGCTCCATCATCTCTGACAATTCTGGCTGGATCTAATGGGAGTTGACATTTTAATTGTCCAGAGGGCCACAGGCTTCATTCATTCTCTAAATAAGCTGACACTGAGGTAATTTGAAGATCTTCCCTTTCATATCCAAACCAAACCTGACGTTTAACACTACTTTCCACTCATTTCGGAAGTTAGGTTAGCTGATATCAGAAGTGAGACTTTTACCAGTGACCCCTTTTATTATAGAGCTCTTCCCTGGGGATATTTGAAGGGCCCTCTTTTCCCCTTTACTTCCTTCAGAAGGAACAAAAGATGAAACATTCCTTATTTCCTCTGTTTTCTCAAACAATACACGCTATTTTATAATTGTATAGTTTTACTGATCAAAGCCCTGCAAAGAAAAATGCTAAATTGTCTTGTACTAATTAATCTTTTTAAATTCTTACCTGTTCCACATTGTATCCATGTTTTTCCTTTGCTATAGCAATGTATTCATCCACTGTGTAACAGAAGGATGCTAGAATTATTTTCTAATATATTCATAGAAAAAAAAACATTTTAGGATCCTGGATTCTTGATTACATTGCACCCATATTATTTCATTCTGGTTTATTTAAATACTGAAATATATATTTGTGCTCATGTTAAGTATTATTTTATTTATCTTTATATCCTGCTTCAATTATACATTTCTCAATTCAATCTCTAAACATGCATATACCGAAAACATTCTATAGAAATGGAAAAAAGCTATTGATCAAAACTGCAATCCTACATTGATTCAAGTGTAGTAAAAAAATAATAATCCAACAATAAGCACAAAAATGCCCATCTTGAAATAATCTATGGAAAGTCTAAAATCCAATTCATTACTGCCCCAGAGCTTTGTAACACCTTTTCATCAGTTGTATAGGTACTTTGAATTTTCTTCCTTCAAGCCTCTTTTCTGCTTCAATGTAATAATATTACACTCAAATATGAGTGCAATACAAAGAGATTCAATGCAGTGTTTATTTTTTTGCACTGTTGATCTTTATTGAAAAACAGGTTAGATCTCTGTTTGGTTAAATAAAGGTAGTAAGGAAAGAGAAGAAGAATCAGATGAAGAGAGCTAGAAGTATAAAACTAATGTGGAGAGATAAATGTGACATGTTCAAAAAGTCTGATAAAAAACAGGGAGCAAGAATATTTCATTTAGAAGGGCAGATTTTATTTAAGCCCTGAAATATGCAACATGAAAATGTGATATATTTGTTAATTTGATGCCATTTCTCAAACATTGGAACAACTAATTTTCTGAATTGAGATGCAGATATTTAACAATCTAGAACAAAACTGCAATGGTTTCAACTGTCATTTCCCCCATTTTTAAAACATTTTGCTCTTAATCTAATTCTTAAAAGAATTAAATCCTACTGTCATACAATTAGGAATCCTTTCTTTCTCCCATAAGTTGTTCAGAGCATCCAGAAGTGGAGGTGCTTCAGTCTCTTCTTGAAAGGCTGGGCTTAAAACTCCGGGACGCTCCTCCTCCTCCACGGGACACCTCCTCAGCGTCCCCCAGTTTTAGCTCAGCCTTCGTGGTAAGAGGTTGTGCACTCCCTGACTGGAACGGTTTTCTGATTCAGGTTTGCTCTTGGGTTATTTCGGCTTGTAAAAATCTTTCCCATTTAATTTGGCTTTTTTCAGGCTTGTGCCTCTATTAGGTTGCCTCGATCAGTTTAAAAACAGTTTCTTTGTAACTAGTGGTGCCTGCCACTCCGTGGGCAGCCTGAGGTGACTGCCTCAGGCAATTACCTTATCTAACTTTCCGATCGTCTTCTCTGCGATCGTAGCGGAGTGCTCGCAGCCACGGCTCACTTCGCCTTGCCGTTTCGTCTGACAGGAGCATTTAACTCGCAAGTTAAAGCCTCAGCAGCAGCGGCTCGTTAGAATTCTCAGACATTAGCAGCGGAGATTCTGGCTTCCCGCCCTTTTCAATGGCTGGTTCAAGTTCGCGCCTAAATATCACAGGTGCCATTTCCCACTGTTTCCCTTTTTGGGGACCGGGGCAGTACCTTCCCACTTCGTTCTCCCTGGGTTTAGCTTTCCCTTGTCTGGCTGACGTTGGATAAGCAGGCTAGTCATTAAACAGGAATTTCCTTGCAATTGCCTTTGGATCATTTCTTTGGAGTGAAGCCCCAAGTGCCATTTTAAACAGCGGGACGTTTTGTTTTGACAGGAAAGAATCCACCTCAGATCCTGTATAGCTGGTTTCCCTTGTTGGGGACCAGGGATCCAGAAAGTTCTCGCTTGGAGCGCTTGGGGGTTTCCCTTGTTGGGGACCCTTAGATACTGTTTACCATATGCACAGTTTTACATATAGATATAGGCACCTGTATATGGGCGTGTATATATATAGATATATATAGACTTACTCTCCTGGAGGAGCGTTCTACTTTCAACCACAGGGGAAGGCATCACCCCAAAGTACAAATAATAATAATAATAATAATAATAATAATAATAATAATAATAATAATAATAATAATAATAATAAT